GTTTTCAAAATGGAAAGTAGGATTTTCAGGTGTGGATCGTGGATTTTGGGAAAAGGGGTGTCAACGACTACTTTACAGAATGATTGTTGATAATATGAAGTTGGAAGTTTGTTTCAAAGCTTCGGTGTGTATTATGTAGTTATACATGCATGCACATTTTTTGATGCGCAGTCAAGTTGCAAATAAACACGAGGAACACTGCTAAATACAGATGCTGTGCATTGCGCCCAGAAAATTCCAGAGTCAGCACTGCTAACAAGCGTTCCCAGACAGGCAGCATAATGCCGGTGAGTACCACTTGTTTTACATGTATACACCTGGAAATACGCAAGCTATTGCGAACATTAATTCGTCGACAAAATCATTCATTGGAAACTTGACAATTATGAGTGCGCCACTAGGATTTATAGCCATGGTTAAAGGCAGTTCTTAGTACCTGTGGTTGCAGACCACTCCCATAGACCTCACTGATAATTAAGCGCACTTCCAAAAAGTATTAAAAATACTCAAAATTCTCAAAGGTGTTTGAAATACACATCAAATTAAAGCTTATAACATCGTCTTTCATTTTCTGTTATAGTTTTTTGGGGGTTAACGAATGACTTTTGGGTGCAAATTCCAACCTAAGTTCATCAACCCTTAAAGTAGTCATGTGGTCCATCGCAATTTTGAAAAAGGATGCCTACGCTCCATTGCAAAAGAGAGCCATTTTAGGGTCTAATTTCATCAAAATGTCACAGAAATACGAGCTCGCTGTCCTCTGCATGCATGGCTTCCACCCTTCTTTTTTTAAACCCTGAAGTTCATGGCCCTCACACTCTAATACCAGAGCATTTAAGGGCATGCAAATCGTGATTTTGCCGGCGCAGGCAATTTGCGGGCTTCTTTACTGGCCTGCACCTATTTAAACGGGTATGTCAGCTGAAAAGCAAGTTTGTGCATTGTTTTCTTCGTAAAAGTTTACGCAGAACGGCCGGAATACTGAATGAGGACAACAAATGATTTAATAACAAAGGCACCTTCAATATTGTATTTGTTCGTCAAGAGAGAAAAAAATCAAGAATTAGGGGGAATTACATTACAAGATCATATGGAACGTTGAAGGTCTATATAAAAAAAAGCTACGTAGGCGGAAGTACAATCATACTTAAGTAGACACCAAAATCGTGGTAAAATTACAAATGTTACCATATTAAAGTCATCCCATTTTCTTTTATTAGAATGAATGATATAGTTTGTAGAAAATAGACCCTTATCATGCTGCCCCCATTTCATTCATGGGCAGTGGGGGCACGGGGGGGGGGGGACTGGAACATTTCATGGGGGGGGGGGGGCGTCATGTAGATCAATGATAGTTTTTAAGAAACTCAAAATCTCAGTGGGGGCGACTGGGGGGCGACAAGGTTTCATGGGGGGGGGGGGCGGTCGCCCCCCCCCCCCCCCCCCCCGTGGCTACGCCACTGGTCATGGCCCATGTAACCAACATCAGTATTGAATGATAATGTTTTTTTGTGCAAAAAGGAACCGGACTATTTTTTCCTTACAGCCTCGATGGCTTTGGTTACGTTGATTTGAATGGGAAAAATCAAGATGGCCGCAACATGATAATGGTCTATATTAGTGACTTGCTCCGAACCGTTAGCGTATTTTTTCCCATCAGGAGGGTTATAGGGCAATGTCATGAATAATTCAGTTTTTTTCTTTGAATAATTGCAAGACATATGTTCTCGTTCTCTTTTCCCCTTAAATAAAAATTATCTCAACGCTAAATTTGGAGAAGAAAAATAGTCCATGAAAACGAGCAGCGACGACATGGATTCGAACCAGGGATCCTCGTATCAATAGCTCATCTCGCTATCCACTAGGCTCCTTTTTTTGTGGTAGCTCTACGACAACTGTTCTATAAAATACTTTAATGTAACTGGTTGACTAAATAACAACAGTGCTCTTGATATCATTGTTCTGTTACTATGAATGAACATAGTTTTCCCATCGAAACTACTAAATTATTCATGAATTGGCCCTAACCATCCTAGGAATAAAAATTGCGTAAACAACCTGATACATGTTGCCTGTGTCTATTGTTACGGTAGCAAATTTGTACGGAGCGGCATTTGCGATTTAAATGGGAAAACATGTAGTTTCAATTTGTGTTATTGAAAAATAATTTTACTTTCTCATGCATGCATCAACATATACTGAAACTGTTAATCAAAAATAAATTACACATATTTTAATTCATAACATTAAACAAAAACTATGTTGGTAATTGTGGCCATACCCTCCGACGAAGTGGATTGAAGAAGTCATACCACAGGGGCCCTACTTCCCTCTTAGACCAGATTGTGTGATGTGAATTACGATTTTGCACTGTAACTTCGCGGAATTTTCCCCATCACAATGTCAGCTTTGAACAATATTTACAATTGGTTAAAATAGGCGTATTTCCACCATTATAATCGAACATTGTGATGAAGATAACCACGTGAATAACTATAAAGAAGACTTTCAGTACCAAAATAAATACATTTTGTACAGATTTCCCTCTTTCCCCGAAATTTATCATAGCCCCAGACTCAACCGTAGCGAAACCATATAAGTACCGAGCAAATAGGCTTAATATTTCTCCAAATTTCATGAAAAATAAGAGAAGTATAGTAAAAACCACTCGGGTTCTTAGAAAGCCTCAATATATCCCGGTTCTGTTCGACTGGCTTAATCTTCAACTCATAAAATGTAATTGAACTATGTACAGAATTAAAGTGATTTATTCAACAAGTTGTTTGGTATACAAGTATGTCCTGCATATAGATCCAGTTAACACAATCAACATAAATTATGTACAAAATATCGACAACAGTCAACCCATTTATCCTCTTTGGAACAAAAATCAACATTTGAAAAAAACCTGTAAGTTTCATTATATTTTTAAACAAAGTGCATAATATACATCGCACACAAAAGGGTTTAACAATCACAATGCAACATTGAAACCTACTTATGATTCTAAATGCTGTGCTAACTTTGTACATTGATTTAAAATTATACGTATCGCCAAATATTCAGTATAGACTGGATTTAATAGGCCTTGTACCGATACCTTTAAGTGTATACGGCTGTGCTATTCAACCTTACTTGTTTTATAACATGTTTTGTAAGATATATGTTTTAAACATCTCCCTAGTGTTGTGTTACTGCGTTGATTTAATATTGCAACCTTTATGCACGGCCACACGTCTCAAGTTTCGAAAATTGCCCGAAAAAATCAAATGTGTTGACAATTATCAATTTATTAACATATTTTTAGTTAAGTCCTATTCTATTAAACGTTGTCTGTTTTACTAAGTCTTTCCTCTGTTGTGATGTCGATATATAAAATCAAAGCTGATGTATCAGTTCAAACAACCAACATCTGGTAAAGGTTAATTGTCCATAGATCAAAGTACTTTTAGCAAAGTAATTGTCGGGGTATGACGGTGAAATGAGACTGAATGAAGAGGTCGCGATGACATCAAAAGCTACCTTGCTTCATTACAATATTTTTTCTTCTTTTCTGACATCTTTTTTTTCTTCTTATTTTGCACCAATTGGCGAAGGTCTCGGAGTTTGTATACTTGTCATCACCAATCTTAGATCTAGCCCTCTGTATGACATCCTCAGGTGAATAACAATCATCCCTATACTCCAGCCTGTACACGGGAGGTTTGAAATCAATCGTCTCTTCCACGACACCTTGTTGTTTGGTGTAATGTACTACTTCCACCTTACACGTAGCTTGGTCACGATCCACGACTATAGCGTGAGTGTCATTGCTGTGCAAGACAATCTGATCGCCTGGTTTCAGGTCCTGTATGCTTTTTATAGCCCTATCATCGGTCCCGGTCATTGAAGCGAGCCTACGACGAATCGGCGGCCCTGTGCAAGTCCCTAGGAACTTGCCCAATACTCCCCCAAAAAATCCCCGAAAATGCCCCCAAACAAAGTCCCCGCACCTGGCATTATTAAAGTTCCGAGCGCTTCTCCGGCAATGCCCAATCCAGCGGCAAAGCCGATACCTAACAGTGCCTCGGCAACACGCTGGACAACGCTGGTTATGTAATCTTGCCGGGAAATTTCACCAGCATTTCTGCTTTTTGAAATCTTGTAAAGATCCCACACGCAAAAGCCGCTCTCTATGAGAAAAAGGACAACAACTCCAACGGCATTGGACTTTTTCTTGAAAAATGCTCTCTCCACGGTCTCAGCAGTAACAGTTTTAAAAGTTGCTTTTGCGACGGTCTTGACTGTGGTAGCTGCTAGGATCGCTGTCAGCTTATGAAATAACCATTCAACCTGGCAGCTTTCTGCAAGCCCTGTCTTACAACATGTCGCAAACGTTTCGCAGTTATCATGAATTAGATTGTAACCAGTGTCGCTTAACCTAACTCTAGCACGAGCGATAACCAACTCACGTGGGTTAACTTTAGCTAACTCGTCAGGGTAATCGATACGAAACAATTCTCCCTGTTGTTGGTTTAGGTCAAGCTCGGTTTGCATGATCTGCCACTTATCGTCCGACTTCCACCAATGAATGACCGTCACACGCCCTCCCACCCCACCAATTTCTAAGGCGAACCATCAGATAACAGACCTTTCGGGTACCTGGTCCGGTATGCTAATTTCTTTCACCCCAATCGGTACGAAGGCAGAAGCCACCCGGTTACTGAAGCGTGACGCCCCAATTGGTCCAAACTGGTGACTCAGGGTTTCACAATAGGCAACATAAATTGAAGTCTGACCATTGTTGGAGGATTATTCGGCCCACTGGGATTACCAGCGGCAACTTCTATGAAGCTCATCACAGTCATTGTTGCCTACTGGAGGATTAGCGCGTCGCAAATTGGTTCCTTTGTGATGAGCCAGAGCCATGGTGCAGAAGCCTGGTGGAGTTTATCCAGGCCGATCGGTTCCATGCAAGGTCCCAATCCCTTCAACATACTGGGCGGGCTCAACCCCGAACGGTATGGGGAGGGATTCTAATTTGAGGGCTCGCCTAACACGATGGCATGATGCCAGTGGCCAAACCTGCGCTGCCAAGTGATGTGATCCCCCACCTTTAGGATATTGCTCAGGGACTTGCAATTCTCGATTTTGGTGGTGTTGCTCTCAGTGACTATCTTGAGTTGTTTCTTGAGGACGACATCGTTGACAGTTACCGAGGGGCGGGTGTTATCTTCGTCTGGATGAAACAAAAACCGTTCTTCCAGCAACGCTTGACTGCAGTTAGTGCAACAGACGCCGAGTAGTTGATCTTCATAGTAGTAGGGTCGGTACTTGAGAGCTTTTTTATTGGCACATGAGCAGTCAGGGAGGCTCCGAAAAGATCCTGTGTAGGGTGAAAAAATATTGCTTGGCTGGATTTTTGTTTTAAATTGGAGTGGGGAAAAGCGCTGAGACGTTTTTGTCATAGATGGCGCAGGATGCATGTGCCTGATTCAGTGGGTTTGTTCCCTGAATATCCTTCTGGGGTTTTCCTCCAACCTCCAAAACTGTAATTTCTTCTCTTGTCTTCTCTCTACATGTTTCTTCAGGCTTGTGAGCTACAGTGCCTATTAAAGGGCGCTTTGATGAATGCCTGATGTCATCACCAGAAATAAAAACAAACTAGAGGTTGTAGGAACAACCACACGGTGTTGGGCCATGGGTTACCGCAAACTTTGCCACACACATCTCAAAATGCATGTTTCAATCCATGTTTGACTTTTTCAACATGCCGCCAGAGGGCGCCCTAACATTTGATGACGTCACCTGTAAAATGTTTGTACGGTACTGCCTAGGCAGACACTCACATTGTTGAAAGCAAGTTCGCATCTTCTGCCCATTTCAAATAATAAGGCACTTCCGGTTTCGACTGGAAGGAAGGGTCACGTGATTTTGCACTCAATACCAAAAATGAAGACCCTGCAATATTGTATAGATTGCCATAAAAACAAAATCAAATCTGTAGCAGTTGATTTTATATATTGATTTTCAAAGATTAAATCTAAAAATCTTTGATTGCTTGTAATATGATACCTGATGACGTCATTGTGACGTAATTACCAGAAAGTTCAAGAGCTATGTAAACTGTGCTATATATAGCCAAACCTTGATTATATCTGTCATGGTATATTTGTTAGCAATTTTTTAAGGTTTAAAGGTCTTTTAATTGTAACTTCCGGTCTGAAGACGTAATCATTTTTTTTCGCGCACAGGTGTTGTCTGCATTGTGGTCATCGTGAACATTAATTTTGAAGCGATTACCGCAAACTTCGCCACAGACATCAAGTGAAAATGTGGTTTTTACGTTTTTAAACCTGCCGCAAGAGGGCGCTCCAACACTTCATAGCATCACCCATTATTTTTTTTGAAAGGTCACTCCAGGCAGACACCAAAATCATTAAAAGCAAGTTCATATCTTTTTCCACTTTCAAATTATTAGGCACTTCCGGTTTCGACCGGAAGAAGGGGTCATGTGATTTTAGGCGCACGAGATAAAATGAAGATCATGTATTGCCATGTCAATTCCCGCAAATTTCAAGTTCCGGTCTCTCACGGTTGATTTTATGTTGAATTTCAAAGATTAAATTTATTATTTTTTGAAGTGACGTCACGTGACCCATGATGACGTCATGATGACGTAATTGCAAAAAAGCACATCTGCAGTGGGTTGTGCATTCATGTATTGACAATTGAAGTTAATATATGTTTTCATTTTGACAAACAGTTCCGGAGAAGAATCTGTCTTGAATAAAAACTAGAGTTTGAGGACAAACACACGGTGTTGGGCTAGAGGTTTGGCTTTTTTCGCATTGTTGATTATTGTTGTTGATTGTTGATGTTGGTTGTTGATGTTGATGTTGATTGTTGATTGTTGATGTTGATTGTTGATGTTGATTGTTGATTGTTGATGTTAATGTTGATTGTTGATTGTTGATGTTGATTGTTGATGTTACGGTTGATTGTTGATGTTGGTGTTGATTGTTGATGTTTATTGTTGATGTTAATGTTGATCTTGATGCTGATTGTTGATGTTGATTGTTGATGTTAATGTGGATTGTTGATTGTTGATGTTGATTGTTGATGTTGATGTTGATTGTTGATGTTGATTGTTGATGTTGATTGTTGATGTTGCTGTTGATTGTTGATGTTGATGTTGATTGTTGATGTTGATTGTTGATGTTGATTGTTGATGTTCATGTTAATGTTTATTGTTGATTGTTGATGTTGATGTTGAGGGTTGAGGGTTGAAAAATAGCGCGTGGAGTAATTATACAGAGGATAGTTAAAAAAGAGTCAGGTGAGGATCTGCACGCGCGTATGCTGCTGTACTGAACACTTACGGTATCTAGTACAATTGTTACAAAAACCCATTAAATAGCTCATATCTCTAAAAGTAAAGGTCGCACACCATTGGCTCAATACGAGATATTGCTCGCCATACCCTCTTTACCCCAATGCGCATGTTTTTAGGGGAACAAACGCCGAATTTAAAAAAGCGCCCAATTGGGTGCTTTTGCCAGCCCAATTTTTGAGCATCATATGACGGGAAGTTCCCTTTTACGCAATCGCAGCACGCTGTTGTTCGGGATTTTCCCTTTGTACGCAATCATCCCCATTTGCTGTACATGCAATGTACGTGGCATTAAATGAGCGTTTCAATGTGTAGGCGTGTTCAACTTCAACGGGGCTGAAGGGCATCTTCTAGTAAATGTATTGTAACGAAACCTTGGGAAGTTTTAGACCTATTATTAAAGTGCCATTTAAAGCACAAAACTGGATTTTATCTCTGACGGTTGATTTTTTAGCAATTTTCAAAGTAAAAGAGGTAGTTTCATTGTAACTTCCGGTCTGATGACGTAATCAATTTTTTTTCGCGCACAGGTCTTGTCTGCATTAAGGTCATTATGTATATTAATTTTGAAGCAATTACCGCAAATTTCGCCACAGACATCAACTGAAAATGTGTTTTGGACATTTTTTAACCTGCCGCTAGAGGGCGCTCGAGCACTTGATGGCGTCACCGGTCATTTTTTCGGAAAGATCAACCCACCCACAGGCTAACATCGTTAAAAGCAAGTTCATATCTTTTTCCACTTTTGAAATATTAGGCACTTCCGGTTTCGACCGGAAGGAAGGGTCATGTGATTTTACGCACACAAGATTAATTGAAGAGCATGTATTATCATGTCGATTCCCGCAAAATTTAATTTCCGGTCTCTCACGGTTGATTTTATATTGAATTTCAAAGATTAAATTTATTATTTTTTGAAGTGACGTCATGGACCCACGATGACGTCATGATGACGTAATTACAAAAAAATTCATCTTCAGTGGGTTGTGCATTCATGTATGGACAATTGAAGTTCATATCACTTTTCATGTTGACAAACAGTTCTGGAGAAGAATTTTGCTGAGAAGAACTAAAGAAAACAAAAAAAAACGGTGTTGGGCCATGGATTACCGCAAACTTTGCCACACACATCAACGCAAAATATGCATGTTAAATCCATGTTTTACTTTTTCAACATGCAGCCAGAGGGCGCTCTAACATTTGATGACGTCACCTGTAATTTTTTGTACAGTACTGCCTAGGCAGACACTCACATCGTTGAAAGCAAGTTCGCATCTTCTGCCAATTTCAAATAATAAGGCACTTCCGGTTTCGACCGGAAGGAAGGGTCACGTAATTTTGCACTTAATACCAAAAATGAAGACCCTGCAATATTGTATCGATTGCCATAAAAAACAAAATCAAATCTGTAGCAGTTGATTTTATATTGATTTTCAAAGATTAAATCTAGAAATCTTTGATTGCTTGTAATATGATACGTGATGACGTCATTGTGACGTTATTACCAGAAAGTTCAAGAGCTATTTTAACTGTGCTATATATAGCCAAATCTTGATTATATCTATCACGGTTGATTTTTTAGCAATTTTCGAAGGTTTAAAGGTCTTTTTATTGTAACTTCCGATCTGATGACGTAATCAATTTTTTTTCGCGCATAGGTCTTGTCTGCATTAAGGTCATCATGTACATTAATTTTGAAGCAAATACCGCAAAGTTCGCCAAAGACATCAACTGAAAATGCGTTTTTGACGTTTTTTAACCTGCCGCTAGAGGGCGCTCCAACTCTTCATGGCGTCACCCATTATTTTTTTTTGAAAGGTCAATCCAGGCAGACCCGTTCATCGTTGAAAGCAAGTTCATATCTTTTTCCACTTTCAAATTATTAGACACTTCCGGTTTCGACCGGAAGGAAGGGTCACGTGATTTTACGCGCACGAGATAAAATGAAGATCATGTATTACCATGTCGATTCCCGCAAAATTCAAGTTCTGGTCTGTCACGGTTGATTTTATATGGAATTTCAAAGATTAAATTTATTAAACTTTAAAGTGATGTCACGTGACCCATGATGACGTCACAATGACGTAATTACAAAAAAGCACATCTTCAGCAGATTGTGCATTCATGTATTGACAAATGAAGTTCATATATGTTTCCATTTTTCCAAACAGTTCCGAAGAAGAATTGTGTCTTGGAGAATAAAAAAAAAAAAAATTGTGAACTTTTACAAAAACAATAGGTTTTGGGCTAAAGCCCAACACCTAAAAAAATAATAGTAAACCCTTACAAAAACAATAGATGTTGGGCTAAAAGCCCAACAACTAACTAGAGGTTGTAGAAACAACAACACGGTGTTGGGCCATGGATTACCGCAAACTTTGCATGACGAAACCAGCCCTCTTAAGAAAGTGACTAGTTTCTACACTGTTGAAAGCCCCTGGGGAGCAAGTAAACCAAACTCCCCTCCCTGCTCCACAGTCCCAGCGAGATAGTGACTTGTGGTTAAATGAAATACCACCTGTTCGCCACACTGCTTTCTGGAACTATACTTTCTGGCGAATTGCGGTTTTATGCAAGCATAACAGTAACAGATCGTTCTCAGCCATTTATTCACGGATTTTCACATTTCAACATATAACAGGGGTGTGGAACCTCAGCTTTAAAGCTGATTTCAGCTTGATTTGATTTGGATTTCAGCTCTTTTCACTCACTTGCTGTGTACAAAAGTATAGGAGATTTCCAAAGTTCAGCTTTTTTACACCTTTTTCAGCTGTTTTCAGCTATTTTTATCAGTGGTCACTCACACCCCTGATATAAAACAAGTTAACATTTCAGGTACGTCATTATGATAATACTTTTGTTGGCCGACAGATTAAATTTAGCAACCAAATATTATGCTTGAAATCTCCCAGGCAGAGTGACCTTCGCTCCTTTTAGGAACCATTTATAGAACGAGTGATAATGCATTTTTGACGCTTTTTAACCTGCCGCTAGAGGGCGCTCTGACATTTTATGACGTCACCTGTAATATATTGCTGTAATACAGCCTAGACAGACACTCACATCATTGAAAGCAAGTTCGCATCTTCTGCCAATTTCAAATAATAAGGCACTTCCGGTTTCGACCGGAAGGAAGGGTCACGTAATTTTGCACTTAATACCAAAACTGAAGATCCTGCAATATTGTAACGATTGCCATAAAAAACAAAATCAAATATGTAGCAGTTGATTTTATATTGATTTTCAAAGATTAAATCTAGAAATCTTTGATTGCTTGTAATACGATACTGGATGACGTCATTATGACGTCATCACCAGAAAGTTCAAGAGCTATTTTAACTGTGCTATATACAGCCAAATCTTGATTATATCTATCACGGTATATTTTCTAGCAATTTTTGAAGGTTTAAAGGTCTTTTTATTGTAGCTTCCGGTCTGATGACGTAATCATTTTTGTTTCGCGCACAGGTGTTGTCTGCATTAAGGTCATCATGTACATTAATTTTGAAGCGATTACCGCAAACTTCGCCACAGACATCAAGTGAAAATGCGTTTTTGACGTTTTTTAACCTGTCGCTAGAGGGCGCTCCAACACCTCATGGCGTCACCCATTATTTTTTTGAAAGGTCAATCCAGGCAGACACTTCAATCGTTAAAAGCAAGTTCATATCTTTTTCCACTTTAAAATTATTAGGCACTTCCGGTTTCGACCGGAAGGAAGGGTCACGTGATTTTGCGCGCACAAGATAAAATGAAGATTATGTATTACCATGTCGATTCCCGCAAATTTCAGGTTCCGGTCTCTCACGGTTGATTTTATATGACATTTCAAAGATTAAATTTATTAAACTTTGAAGTGACGTCACGTGACCCGTGATGACGTCATGATTACGTAATTGCAAAAAAACACATCTGCGGTAGGTTGTGCATTCATGTATTGACAATTGAAGTTCATATATGTTTTCATTTTGACACACAGTTCTGGAGAAGGAATGTGTATAGAAGAAAAAAAAACTAAAGCTAAAAAAAAAAGCTAAAGCCCAAAACCTAACTAGAGGTTGTATGAACAACCACACGGTGTTGGGCCATGGATTACCGCAGACTTTGCCACACACATCAACTCAAAATATGCATGTTTAAATCCATGTTTGAATTTTTCAACATGCCGCCAGAGGGCGCTCTAACATTTGATGACGTCACCTGTAAAATGTTTGTACAGTACTACCTAGGCAGACACTCACATCGTTGAAAGCAAGTTCGCATCTTGTGCCAATTTCAAATAATAAGGCACTTCCGGTTTCGACCGGAAGGAAGGGTCACGTGATTTTGCACCTAATACCAAAAATGAAGACCCTGCAATATTGTATCGATTGCCATAAAAAACAAAATCAAATCTGTAGCAGTTGATTTTATATTGATTTTCAAAGATTAAATCTAGTAATCTTTGATTGCTTGTAATATGATACTTGATGACGTCATTGTGACGTCATTACCAGAAAGTTCAAGAGCTATTTTAACTGTGCTATATACAGCCAAATCTTGATTATATCTATCACGGTTGATTTTTTAGCAATTTTTGAAGGTTTAAAGGTCTTTTAATTGTAACTTCCGGTCTGATGCATAATCAATTTTTTTTCGCGCACAGGTGTTGTCTGCATTATGGTCATCATGTACATTAATTTTGAAGCGATTACCGCAAACTTCGCCACAGACATCAAGTGAAAATGCGTTTTTCGCGTTTTTTAACCTGCCGCTAGAGGGCGCTCCAACTCTTCATGACGTCACCAATTATTTTTTTTGAAAGGTCAATCCAGGCAGACATCAACACCGTTGAAAGCAAGTTCATATCTTTTTCCACTTTCAAATTATTAGGCACTTACGGTTTCGACCGGAAGGAAGGGTCACGTGATTTTACGCGCACAAGATAAAATGAAGATCATATATTATCATGTCGATTCCCGCAAAATTTAAGTTGCGGTCTCTGACGGTTGATTTTATATTGAATTTCAAAGATTAAATTGATTATTTTTTGAAGTGACGTCACGTGACCCATGATGACGTCATGATGACGTAATTGCAAAAAAGCACATCTTCAGTTGGTTGTGCATTCATGTATTGACAATTGAAGTTCATATATGTTTTCATTTTGACAAACAGTTCCGGAGAAGAATGTGTCTTGAAGAATAATAAAAAAAATAGTAAATTCTTACAATAACAATAGGCTGAGGCCCAACACCTAAATATTAACAATCACTGTGGGGTGAAATTCCTTGGCTCTCAATATTTAGGTTTTGGGCTTTAGCCCAAAACCTATTGTTTTTGCTAGGGTTTTTAGATTTTTTTTTTTCTTCTATACACATTCCTTCTCCAGAACTGTGTGTCAAAATGAAAACATATATGAACTTCAATTGTCAATACATGAACGCACAACCTACCGCAGATGTGTTTTTTTGCAATTACGTAATCATGACGTCATCACGGGTCACGTGACGTCACTTCAAAGTTTAATAAATTTAATCTTTGAAATTCCATATAAAATCAACCGTGAGAGACCGGAACCTGAAATTTGCGGGAATCGACATGGTAATACATGATCTTCATTTTATGTTGTGCGCGCAAAATCACGTGACCCTTCCTTCCGGTCGAAACCGGAAGTGCCTAATAATTTTAAAGTGGAAAAAGATATGTACTTGCTTTTAACGATTGAAGTGTCTGCCTGGACTGACCTTTCAAAAACAATAATGGGTGACGCCATGAAGTGTTGGAGCGCCCTCTAGCGACAGGTTAAAAAACGTCAAAAAAGCATTTTCACTTGATGTCTGTGGCGAAGTTTGCGGTAATCGCTTCAAAATTAATGTACATGATGACCTTAATGCAGACAGCACCTGTGCGCGAAAAAAAAAATGATTACGTCATCAGACCGGAAGCTACAATAAAAAGACCTTTAAACCTTCAAAAATTGCTAGAAAATATACCGTGATAGATATAATCAAGATTTGGCTGTATATAGCACAGTTAAAATAGCTCTTGAACTTTCTGGTGATGACGTCATAATGACGTCATCCAGTATCGTATTACAAGCAATCAAAGATTTCTAGATTTAATCTTTGAAAATCAATATAAAATCAACTGCTACATATTTGATTTTGTTTTTTTATGGCAATCGATACAATATTGCAGGATCTTCAGTTTTGGTATTAAGTGCAAAATCACTTGACCCCTCCTTCCGGTCGAAACCGGAAGTGCCTTATTATTTGAAATTGGCAGAAGATGCGAACTTGCTTTCAATGATGTGAGTGTCTGTCTAGGCTGTATTACAGAAATATATTACAGGTGACGTCATAAAATGTCAGAGCGCCCTCTAGCGGCAGGTTAAACAACGTCAAAAATGCATTATCACTCGTTCTATAAATGGTTCCTAAAAGGAGCGAAGGTCACTCTGCCTGGGCGATTTCAAGCATAATATTTGGTTGCTAAATTTAATCTGTCGGCCAACAAAAGTATTATCATAATGACGTACCTGAAATGTTAACTTGTTTTATATCAGGGGTGTGAGTGACCACTGATAAAAATAGCTGAAAACAGCTGAAAAAGGTGTAAAAAAGCTGAACTTTGGAAATCTCCTATACTTTTGTACACAGCAAGTGAGTGAAAAAAGCTGAAATCCAAATCAAATCAAGCTGAAATCAGCTTTAAAGCTGATTTCATTTAACCACAAGTCACTATCTCGCTGGGACTGTGGAGCAGGGAGGGGAGTTTGGTTTACTTGCTCCCCAGGGGCTTTCAACAGTGTGAAACTAGCCACTTTCTTAAGAGGGCTGGTTTCGTCATGCAAAGTTTGCGGTAATCCATGGCCCAACACCGTGTTGTTGTTTCTACAACCTCTAGTTATTTTTGGATGTGATCCCAAAATCAATTAAGCCCTAGGCAATTACGGTGCAATAAAAATTTGAGATTGTGCACGTCTAGAGAATTCTGATTGAAGAGGACTAAAGGTTAAAATTAGATTCTTTTCCAGAGCCCGCATGATAGGTCTAAGCGTGTCATACAGGATTAATATGTTATATAATTTCCAGTATTCGCCTTGATGTTATTTATCAAAACTGAGAAAAAGAAACGTATTCCAAACTCCAAACGGAAACTGATTGGCCAAAATTTGTCTTGAAATATCCAGCCAGTTCAAGATATACATTTAAAGTATGATTCTTGACAGGATTGTAGTTGAAAACATGACAATAATGTGATTTTGCGTTTCTACCTTGGTTATGATTATCCATAGTCTGTCCTTTTGTCGCGCGTTAGCTCATTCAAGTCTTCGTGATTCGGTTCAACCTGCAAATTAAAGTGAAAATAAAGACAGGAGGGTGCTGTGTTTTATTCGCAGTACATGGCTACACGCAAACTGACAGTTAACCCGACATTTCGGTTATTAATTTGTTTTGTCAAAAAAATAGCTCTTCTCTGTTTTGCAACTTTAGTAACTGCGACGTCGTTTCGATCAGAAATCTTGAAAAGTATTTTCATCGATTGACATGCAGTACGGTATGTTCTCATTAAACACACGAAAATCAATACTTTCAAAGTTCAAACAATAATTTGTTCAATCGAGTGACAACTTGAGAAATGTTTGGTTGGTTTAGAATATCAGCCGATAATCGTGACCTCGCGACATATTTATTATGCATAACCCTCCGTGACAAGAGCTGATGTTAGGCGCCCATAGCGAATATATGAAAAAACAAATCACTTCCCGGTCTCATAATGGCCATCCACGAATTTGACTGGGTCGACGAACCGTACACAAAGTAGAAAGGGCGCCCGTTACGATGAGGTCAAATAAGCGCACGCTGAAACATAAACGTCTTGGAACCAAGACTAACTCTCACGGGGAGTCAATTCTTTGGGCGCACGCCACCAATTCTTTGGGTGCTCAATCTTCGTTTGTCCTTGACTGAGTTATGACAATAAAATGCATAATGTTTCTATATTCCACTCTGATTTAAAAAAAACCATATTTTTTTCTTTTCAAAATTGAAAAAAATAAATAAAATAAAGACACTGGATTTGGATCAATCTTGACCCCCTCATTCTACATTCAGAATGTTCGGATAATAACAATAATGTGGTGCTCATATAGCGCTTTATATCAAAGGTCTCAGAGCGCTCACAATTATTACCCCTGTTCATCAAGTTATGAGACAAATTTTTGTAGCAGGTCGAAATCAGCGCATTCTGGTATATACATTCATAAGCATATTTATAATCCTGGATGGAGAGAGGCAATCGTAGCAAAGAGTCTTGCCCAAGAACACAAGCACCATGTTCCCCGTCAGGGTTCGAACAAATAATAAGGCAAAATACAAAGGTTGCCGGTTTTAAACAACAGAGTAGACTGTATACGACGCAACGGACACGTGGTCTGGACAACTGAACATCGTGACCGCGCGACATGATGTACATGCATGACCCCTCTGGGAATTATATATGAAATGGACCAGATATGGAACCTCACTATGTGGCCATGCATAGCGAAAATGTTGAATGGAAACAAATTGGTCCCCAGTTCTAGGAAATACCCCGGCCCTTCGGGGTAAGTCAGTAAAAGACTAACCGACAGAGTGTTGGTTTTATGGTGCATTGTGTACCTTGATAATTATAATACCAAGGAGTCTGTTCCTGCAGATGATGCCTTTGTAAAACAAAGTGCAGCTATTTAGATGATCCTGAATATTCTACACAAATAAAACACACACGCACTAATGAAAACCTTTAATGTTTACCACCAAAACACAAAGAGAAGTGACATAAAAGTGATCAGATGGCCTCGCATGGTCAAGGATGTTTATGCAACTCCCCAGCATCGTATAATGACAATACATACTGTTAGCCCTGTCAATTAAGCTGTCCTCACCTGCTGCATCCATCGGTAAAGGCGACCTGTTGTACGGATGGACTGTAGGCTAAATTATCGTACACACGTACAGTAGTGTGTTATCGGCATGATGAATCCAGCCTTATTTCAACCATGTTTCAACCGAGCATGAATGTACACTGTGACGTTCACGTTCGATCTGTTTTGTCCCTGTGAAAAGGCAGTGTCACCATGACGACTATGACATGATGCACTATTTAAAGCAACAAAGCGGGAATCCCCGCACGCATTTCGCAATGTTGCAATTTCGCAATAGCGCCGCAAAGGGAAAGGTCACGTGCCGAGCTTATGGGCATTTTAACACTTACAAATGTGTTGGATTTTTGTGCAAGTTAATTTTCCTATGGTTTCGGGAAGGGCGCCGCCAGGGGTGAACTTCCAGGCTCTTCCCCCCCCCATATATTAGACTGGCATCCAGTCCTATGCTCACAACGGGGATGCGACACCGGTGCGTTGTTTTACATATATATATATAGGCCTATTAGTGGCAAATGTATCGATGCATTTCATGTCGTACATGATTGCTACACACAGTTTCAAAATACATTGTCGTCTGAAACAAAAGAAGGAGATATGCAGACAATGTGGGGACTGCCTTAGGCGTGATCCATTCGATGACGAATGAAAGAGCATCGAGAGACGCAAAGAGGGTAGAGGGCGCTCGTTATATACAATTCAACTTTCGCTGTCCCTGATTGGTTCCCTAAACCTCCGAGTTCCCTTTGCGTCAACCTCTGTTCCCTTCCATGGTGTTGAGCAGTACTGACTATGAGTAAACGTTATTCGAATTATTGGATGACGTTGCCAATCATTTATCAATCCATTATGTTAATTATGTGCCCGTTGTAACATGCATACAGTTTCATTTGGATTCCATGGGAATTTTGTGATATTAAAAACTGTAGGTAGATTTTGTGTATACGTTTTAAGAAACGAACTAAAAATACACGTCCATCAAATACAGGGTGGTTAAAAAAAGGACACCCACTTTTGACAGTAATTTTTACTTACTTAATGAAATATTTTTTTCACGTAGTAGTAAAGTATAGGCCTTTAACTATGCATGGTGAAAAAAAAATAGTAAAAGTCGCAACAATAGTGATATTGTGCTAATATGAAATCAAGTCACCAAAATCAGTCTTGTCCACGGGTTATTCCATGTAAATTTGACGTTTTCGTAGTTTATAAAAAATAAAAAACCTTCCCACCAAAATATTTTTTGAAGCTATCCAATTATTCATGTAAAGTGTTAAGATCATCTACTCAATGAGCTGTCGGCTTAAGTTCATTGTTGCATAACATTACATACATAACAATCAAATGTCATGCCCTTTCAAAAGCTCGGAAAGCTGAGCTCAGTCAAGCGAAGGGAATGTATACCTCCGTGGAAAAACAGGTTTCGCACATGAAATGTTCAAATTAGCATAGCTCTCAACGACAAAATGTGCAAATGCAACGATTTTTTCGTCACGAGTGCTTAAAGGCCAGTACTTTAATAGCTACTAATCGACAGTTAAAAATAATTTTATATAAATAGGTGAAAATGCTGTCAAATGTGGGTTTTCCTTTTTTTGAACCACCCTGTATATCTCGATTAGTGAGTTAAGTAAAATCTTTCGGTATCCTTCATTTAATTTTTTTTGCCACAACATTTTTGTTCATTGTCTCTGTACTTAAACAAGAATTCATAAATACCTCAGACAGTTTAGCTATTCCTATTGGTCGAGAGCCCGTCACGTGGCCGGTCTTAAACGGATGATAAAGACATGGCTAGCTGGTCTTAAACACTTTTCCAGTGTCACAATAAAATGTGGACTCCTAAAAATCCAGTGCCTCTTACCGTTTCATTGGTTGAACGTTCACAATCCTCACGTAGGTATGCGCAACACTACCAGCGAGTCAGAATTTTATAGTTCTAAAACTGATCTCTATATAAAGACTGGATAGCTAATAAAGAGCCGCACAATGTACGAATTTGACGCCATATTGGTGAGACCGGCTGGTGATCTACAAAGGACAAGTTGCCGTCTTTATAGACAGCTTCATTTCTTTTGTAACGTCGCGGCTCACTTGACTTATAGTCCAGCGGATATGTGACAAAATATCGATGAATTGTGCACTTTTGCATAAAAGCGTGAAACTTGGCACAGATGTTTATATTCATGCGAGAAAATGTTTTAGATGTGGAGCCATCGCAAATTTACCCTTTTAGGGGCGTGGCATCCATTTTAAAAAAGGGGGGCGGGACTTGTCATGCCCGCAATAAAAATGGTTTTTCCCACTTGTTACAAAAGCAGGAAACCTCACAAAGACATAATTATATAGATTATTAGTGTTTTCCAGATTCGGAGCCACCACAAAAGTACCTTTTTAGGGGCGTGGCAGCCATTAAAAGAAAATGGGGGGGGGGGTAATTATTATGCCCACTTTGGAAAACATTGTGCCCATATTTCATGAACGAATAAAACGTCCCACAGACGTTTATATTCATGAGAAAAAAAATTCCAGATGTGGAGCCATCTCGAACACACCCTTTTAGGGGCGTGGCAACCATATAGGAAAAAAAAGGGGGGCGGGGTTTTCATTATGCCCACCCTGGAAATATTGTTCCCACACTCAGAGAGAACTGGAACTTTCTACAAACATTGACATTCATGAGAAAACAAATTCCAGATGTAGAGCCATCTCGAACACACCCTTTTAGGGGCGTGGCAACCATATAAGGAAATAAAGGGGGCGGGGTTTTCATTATGCCCACCCTGGAAATATTGTTCCCACATTCATAGAGAAATGGAACTTTCCACAGACATTGACATTCGTAAGAAAAACAATTCCAGGTGTGGAGCCATCGCGACCACACCCTTTTAGGGGCGTGGCAGCCATATTGAAAAAAGGGGGGCGGGGTTCTCATTATGCCCAACATGGGGAAAATGTGCCCACATCTCATAAACGAATGAAGCTAATTTCCACAGACATTAATACTCACGAGATAAAAATCATACGTGGAGCCATCGCAAACACACCCTTTTAGGGGCGTGGCAGCCATAATAAAATGGGGGGGGGTAGTCACGATGCCCCTATAAAAGAAAGTTGTGCCTTCCTTTCATAAATGGATTAAATACTCACGGACAATATATTCATAAAAAATGTTGTTTTGTGAGGCCATCACAAACCTACCCTTTTAGAGGTGCGGCATCCATTTTTAAAAGGGGGGGGGGGGGTACTCAGTATGCACAACGTGGAAAATTTTGACCGCGTTTCATATAATAAAATCCACCTCAGATAGCTGTTTAATGTGTTGGAGTAGGACCGCCTTTATAGTTGGAATTTATTGTTGACAATCCCTTTGTTTTCTTACACTATGCATTCTTGCCTCATCTATATTAACCCAGTTACTGGTTCTTTCGTCTGTAGAATTATTGATAACCTTTCAACTGCATCAATATCTGAATTAGGGGTATAAACTGGGGTACCTCAGTTAGTCCTGGAAAGACTAGTGTTACTTCTTCAAATACATTGTTTGCCCTGCCTTTTTTTCTGACGAACCTAAAGGCATATGCAGTGTCGCACCTGTATAACGTATAATTTTTTTAATGGATTTGGTCGGGGTAAAAAAAAACACTCAGAAGAGCTGGATATACCATTTTTAAGAGAACAGAGGTGTTGTGTGGTGGGGGTACACAGATTCATTGAATGTGAAGTCATAGTGGACGTGTCCACCACTTTGTGAGGCGAGTACATCGTGTTGTTACCCAATCTGCTGTCAATGCGGCGCAACGGGTAAGGGGTAGGGGGATTTTATACTCCCCCCCCCCGTAAAAAAGGATTTCCATGGCCCTTTAATGTTAAATGTTAGAGTTTAGGGCTGCCATTGTGTGCTGTGTATTTGTAATTATGAAATCACTCTGGAATTTAGATGTGCATGATAATATAGGTGCAAGTACACACATTGAACAATATAACACGGGTTAGCCTACCGGTACTTACCCATGCTCTTTGGGGTAAGTCATTGTATTACCAAATAATATAGGTTATGGGCCAATCAACATTATACGAAATCAACAACAAAATATAAAAATTGCAATTGTGGGCACAGTGAATAGGCCCCTCACACCTCTAAAAGGATGAGTTTGCTGTGGCTCTACATAAGAACTTTCTTTTATAGGGGCATCATGACTACCCCCCCCCCCCATTTTACTATGGCTGCCACGCCCCTAAAAGGGTGTGTTTACGATGGCTTCACGTGTGACTTTTTTTTTCTCTTGAATATTAATATCCGTGGGAATTAGCTTTATTCGTTTATGAGATGTGGGCACATTTTTTCCCATGTTGGGCATAATGAGAACCCCGCCCCCCTTTTTTCAATATGGCTGCCACGCCCCTAAAAGGGTGTGGTCGCGATGGCTCCACATCTGGAATTTGTTTTTCTCACGAATGTCAATGTCTGTGGAAAGTTCCATTTCTCTATGAATGTGGGAACAATATTTCCAGGGTGGGCATAATGAAAACCCCGCCCCCTTTATTTCCTTATATGGTTGCCACGCCCCTAAAAGGGTGTGTTCGCGATGGCTCCACATCTGGAATTTGTTTTCTCATGAATGTCAATGTTTGTGGAAAGTTCCATTTCTCTCTGAGTGTGGGAACAATATTTCCAGGGTGGGCATAATGAAAACCCCGCCCCCCTTTTTTCCCTATATGGTTGCCACGCCCCTAAAAGGGTGTGTTCGAGATGGCTCCACATCTGGAATTTTTTTTTCTCATGAATATAAACGTCTGTGGGACGTTTTATTCGTTCATGAAATATGGGCACAATGTTTTCCAAAGTGGGCATAATAATTAACCCCCCCCTTTTCTTTTAATGGCTGCCACGCCCCTAAAAAGGTACTTTTGTGGTGGCTCCGAATCTGGAAAACACTAATAATCTATATAATTATGTCTTTGTGAAGTTTCCTGCTTTTGTAACAAGTGGGAAAAACCATTTTTATTGCGGGCATGACAAGTCCCGCCCCCCTTTTTTAAAATGGATGCCACGCCCCTAAAAGGGTAAATTTGCGATGGCTCCACATCTAAAACATTTTCTCGCATGAATATAAACATCTGTGCCAAGTTTCACGCTTTTATGCAAAAGTGCACAATTTTTTCACATATCCGCTGGACTATTATATTTTGGCCACCACCACTGACCAACTGACCAAGGTTTACCACAATTTTTCTAACGTAGTGGTTACTTTTATAATGCCGCAAATCACTTTTTCGGCGTTTTTGAAATAA